TACTCGATCCGCTCTCCAACGCCGCTGTAAACGTCGCTGTCCCCAACGGTGCCCTCGGACGGGAACGGCCTGGGGGAAACACGGCCAGAGTGACCACTGAGTGACCACTGAGTGACCGCTGAGTGACCACTGAGTGATCAACAGGGAGTGACCACTGAGTGACCACTGAGTGACCACTGAGTGACCACTGAGTGACCAACAGGGAGTTACTCCTGAGTGACCACTGGGGAGTGGTGGCCAAGGACAAGGGAATGACCACTGAGGAGTGACCATCGGAGAGTGACCACCAGGGAGTGACCACTGGGGACCCTCGGGGACTGGACATTGTGGTCACTCAGTGGCTGGACATTGGGGTCACTCAGGGAGGGGACTGGACATGTGTGACCCTTGGGAACTGGACATTGTGGTCATTCAGTGACTGGACATTGGGGTCACTCAGGGACTGGACACTGGGGTCATTTGGGGACTGGACATTGGGGTCGCTCAGTGACCAGACACTGTGGTCACTCAGGGGCCGGACATTGGGGCCACTCAGGAACTGGACACTGTGGTCACTCAGGGCCTGGACATTGGGGTCACTCAGGGAGGGGAGTGGACATTGGGGTCACTCAATGACCGGACATTGTGGTCACTCAGTGATAGGTCACCATGGTCATTCAGTGACCAGACACAGTGGTCACTCAGTGACCGGACATTGTGGTCACTCAGTGACTGGACATTGGGGTCACTCAGTGACCAGACCCTGTGGTCACTCACTGCCCCTCCCCCCACTGTCCACTCACGCCAGGCCCCTGTGGTCACTCACTGCCCCTCCCCCCACTGTCCACTCACTCCAGGCCCCTGTGGTCACTCACTGCCCCTCCCCCCGCAGTGTCCACTCACTCCAGGCCTCTCCTCTGTGCGATCGGCGTCCAGGACAGAGCGGACAGAGTGTCGACCACCTGGGGGGACAGATGGACAGACGGACAAATGGACAAATGGACACACGGACACACACACACACAGATGGACACACAGATGGACACACACATGGACACACACACACATGGACAGATGGACACACGGACAGATGGACAGATGGACAGATGGACAGATGGACAGATGGACAGATGGACACACAGACAGATGGACACACAGACAGATGGACAGATGGACACACGGCCGGACAGATGGACAGCTGACCGCACCTTGGCGAAGTCGTGTCCATCGAAGAGGTCGAAGGGGCCGAAGAGGCGGTGCCAGGGCAGAGAGATGGACAGATGGACACACAGACAGATGGACACACAGACGGACAGATGGACAGATGGACAGATGGACAGATGGACACACGGACAGATGGACACACAGACAGATGGACAGATGGACAGATGGACACACACACAGATGGACACACAGACAGATGGACAGATGGACAGATGGACACACACACAGCTGGACAGACGGACAGCTGACCGCACCTTGGCGAAGTCGTGTCCATCGAAGAGGTCGAAGGGGCCGAAGAGGCGGTGCCGGGACAGAGAGATGGACAGATGGACACGTGGACAGATGGACACACGGACAGACAGACGGACAGATGGACAGATGGACACACAGACAGATGGACACACGGCCGGACAGATGGACAGATGGACAGATGGAGACACACACACACACACACAGATGGACAGATGGACACACACACAGATGGACAGATGGACAGATGGACACACGGCCGGACAGATGGACAGATGGACAGATGGACAAATGGACACACGGACAGATGGACAGATGGACACACGGACAGATGGACAGATGGACAGATGGACAGATGGACAGACAGATGGACAGATGGACAGATGGACAAATGGACACACGGACAGATGGACACACAGACACACGGACAGATGGACAGATGGACACACAGACACACAGACAGATGGACACATGGCCGGACAGATGGACAGATGGACAGATGGACAGATGGACAGCTGACCGCACCTTGGCGAAGTCGTGTCCATCGAAGAGGTCGAAGGGGCCGAAGAGGCGGTGCCGGGACAGACACACGGACAGATGGACAGATGGACAGATGGACACACAGATGGACACATGGACAGATGGACACACACACACACGTCCGGCCGGTCAGACAGACAGACAGACAGCCGGACAGACGGACAGGTGACCACACCTTGGCGAAGTCGTGTCCATCGAAGAGGTCAAAGGGGCCGAAGAGGCGGTGCCGGGACAGACACACGGACAGATGGACAGACAGATGGACACTCGGACAGATGGACAGATGGACAGGTGACCGCACCTTGGTGAAGTCGTGTCCATCGAAGAGGTCGAAGGGGCCGAAGAGGCGGTGTCCGGGCAGAGAGATGGACAGATGGACAGATGGACACACGGCCGGACAGATGGACACACAGATGGACACACGGACAGATGGACAGATGGACAGATGGACAGACACGGCCGGACAGATGGACAGATGACCGCACCTTGGCGAAGTCGTGTCCATCGAAGAGGTCGAAGGGGCCGAAGAGGCGGTGTCCGGGCGGAGAGACGGACAGATGGACAGATGGACAGATGGACAGATGGACAGATGGACAGACGGACAGATGGACAGATGGACACACAGATGGACACACGGACAGATGGACAGATGGACACACACACAGACAGATGGACACACAGATGGACACATGGACACATGGACACACGGACAGATGGACAGATGGACACACGGACAGATGGACAGATGGACAGATGGACAGCTGACCGCACCTTGGCAAAGTCGTGTCCATCGAAGAGGTCGAAGGGGCCGAAGAGGCGGTGTCCGGGCAGAGAGATGGACACACGGACAGATGGACACATGGACAGATGGACAGACAGATGGACACACGGACAGATGGACACACACGGACAGATGGACAGATGGACACACACGGACAGATGGACAGATGGACACACGGCCGGACAGCTGACCGCACCTTGGCGAAGTCGTGTCCATCGAAGAGGTCGAAGGGGCCGAAGAG